TGGTTCAGAATCATCACGTGATGATCCACACAGACAACAGAACCGCAGCAGCGTACATAAATTGCCAGGGGTCGTGCGTTCTGCCCAGCTGCTGAATGCAGCCAGGAAATTGCTGTGCTGGGCGCGCACACATTTATGTTCGATCTGAGCAGTTTACATCCCAGGCGTTCTAAACACAGGAGCAGATATTATGTCAAGAGGAGGTCCTCTGAACAGGGATTGGTCTCTTCATCCAGATCTAATCTCACAAATTTGGAGCAGGTTCGGGAGAGCGGAGGTGGACCTGATGGCCACCCGAGAGAACTCTCAGTGCACCCTATTCTTCTTCCTAAATTCACAGGATGCTCCACCACAGAGGATGAATGTGTTTGCACACAAACCGTGGCCAAAGATGGTGATTTATGCCTTCCCTCCAGTTTCCCTGATATCAGCACTGTTGAAGAGGGTGAAAAAGGAGAATCTGAAAATGATTCTGATCGCCCCAAACACATGAACGCCTTGTGGCTCCCGGTTCTGCAACAGCTGACAGGTCAACCGTGCATGGAAGTTGCCATGGAGACAGGACGCACTCCTGCAGGCGGGAGGAGTAATCAGGAGCACCCCTATAATAGGTCAGCCCCTTTGGGTCTGGCTGCTGAACAAGAACGCTTGGAAAAATTGGGGTTTTCTAAAGACGTAATATGTACCATCCAGGGGGCACGCGCAAAATCCACTACGACTGTTTACACTTCTAAATGGGCTGCTTTTCAGCGATGGTGCCTAGAAAAGGAGGTGGACCCTGGGCTGCATTATGTCCTACCTGCAGGTGCTGTTGGACAGAAATTTAGCTTTCAGCACAATTAAAACATATGCTTCAGCAATCTCTTCCTGTCATGAATGTTTCAACGATAGAACAGTTTTCAATCACCCTTTAACAAAATGGTTTCTGAAAGATGTGCGCCGGCTCAGGCCAGTGACACGTGCCCTGGCACCGCAGTGGGATATAATTTTCATTCTCAGTGTACTCACTAAAAATCCATTTGAGCCTGTGGACCAGATACCTTTGAAGTATCTGTCACTCAAAACAGCCTTATTATTAGCTCTGACATCAGCTAAAAGAGTGAGCAACTTGTCAGGTCTGTCTGTCGCTCCTTCTTGTCTCAGAATTCAAGGAGACGAGAGCTCAGCAGAACTCCGACTAAATCCTGCTTTTATACCCAAAAGCATAACAAGTTTGTTCAGGTCCAGAGTCGTTACAATGGATGGGTTCTGTCCCCTTCCCCATAAAACTACGGAGGAGGAACAGTTTCACCTGCTCTGTCCATTACGCACACTCAGGTGTTATGTGACACGCACAGCCGCGATGCGTAAATCCGATCAGTTGTTTGTACATTTCAGAGAATGATCACAAGGTCAGCCTTTATCCTCCCAGCGTCTGTCACATTGGTTATGTGAAGCTATATCACAAGCGTATAGTTCTTATGGCCTTCAACCTCCTGAAGGACTCAGGGCTCATTCCACCAGAGAGATTTCTACCTCCACAGCTCTGCACAGAGAGGTGTCTGTGCAGGACATCTGCTCTGCGGCTTCGTGGTCATCACCGACCCCTTTCATCTGTTTTTATTTATGAGATGTCTCCAGCTCTTCACTGACGCATTCAGTTCTCAGAATTATGTCAGAGTGATTTTTCACAATCACACAACAAAATAAATAAATAAATAAATGAAATAAATAAAAACAACAAACAATAAAACAACACAGCCATGCTCTGTCATTATTAGTGGGCGTTTTTTTATGATTACTCGTTCAAACAGGAAAATTCCTTCTTCCTCATTGGGAATTTTTCTCTTCTCTTATTCCTCTGTTGCCTGATATGAATAAACATTCCTTCAATTAAGATTCACAGAGGCTGCAAGCCTGTAGTCCAGTACACACCAGGTACATGGATCAATGGTGCGTAATTATGCTTGAATAAAGAAAGAGGTTTAGGCGGATATCAGGGTGTTTTTGATGGTTCTCGGACAGACCGAGTGAGGCATGGACCATGTCCTGCGACACCCTTTAAACCCAATAACGACAGCTTTTAAAGGGCATAGCTTACACGAAATAGAACATTGGTTACGTATTGTAACCCCATATTCTTTGAGTAGTCCTTTAAAAACTGGGCCTCACTGGCTCTCAAAAGGCTGAAGAAAAAGAGTAAGCCTTTGGGAGTCAAGCTCCGGTCCAGATGCAATTTATAACGGACCAGGTGGGGCCCACACAGCAGGTGGGCATGGACTAGAAGTTTTCAGTGTTCGGTGGGCTGTGCGCGGGTAAACCCAATAGCAACAGCTTTTAAAGGGCTACGCTTACACTCATAGAATCTGGGGTTACAATGCGTAACCAACATTCTATTTTGTGTAGGCTTTGCCCTTTAAGGCTCTTGTTAGTGGGTTTATCCCTGCACGTGCAGTGCAGCACTGAAAACTTTAGTCCATGCCCATCTGCTATGCGGGCCCCACCCCCAATAAATATAAAATGCCCTGAGACTGGGGTTCAGCTCCCATTTTTCTTCAGCCAGCAAGGAAGATGTTTAGCAGAGTCTTTCCACCCATGCCCAGCTGGCAGGATAGGATATCTCCTCAGCTCCAATCTGCTTGCCATCTGCAATGGCTTCCTTGGATCAGAATACGCATGTAGGCTCTCAATTTTTTTCGATACTATGCAGGTTTCGGATTTTTCCACCTCCAACCAGGAGTTGGCTAGCAGCCTCGCTTCCCTCTCTCAGTTAGAGGGCTGGAAATAGAGCTGCCGCCGCCAAGTGGGTCCCCCCACCCCAGCGATTGGCGCACTTTTACATGCTCTGCCTGGCATATTTGGGAAGTGGCGAATGCTAGATCTGGCTTTGCTGAGCCATTAGCTCCTCTAACTCCAGACAACTTGATGGGAAAGTTTGCTGCCCTGCACTCCAGCCACCGAGACCCAGTCTGGCCTGATTTCCAGCCATGACATTGTACTCATCGGGAGCAGCTGTCGACCCAATGAAGCTGAGAGTACCTGTTTCCACCTGTGCACTCATCACGAAGATAGAGGGGCTCACCGACAGGGAGTGAGAACCCTCTGTCCCCTGTTTCTCCTCTGGAGCCAAGCCTGATAGCTGTTTTTCAGGGTCAGAGCAGCTCTGCACGTCGGACGATGGCCCATTCCCCAACGACCAGCTCAGCCAGACTTACTGACAAAATACATCGGTGCACGTCTCAGGTAGCTGCAGCAACCAACAACATGGGTAAAGCAGGGTAGTTATGGTGAAGCAGTGGGCTGAAGCTTGCTTCATGTGACGTCGATGACGTGTGAACCACTTCACTGCTTCATTCAGACCGAGTCAGCTGACTGCTTCGAGTTGACAGGCGGAGTTTCAAACATTTGGCGTGATTCAGTGTATTTACATGGCTCAAGCCCCGGTTCACATCCCCATTCTACACATATTATACCTTACGAACAGCTCTTGTTTTTTGATATTCAGACAGTGGTTCATTTGAGCCGGATCCTGTCAGAACAAGATCCTGGAACTCTATAATTTTGACTGCTCGGATCCTCCAACTCCGCCCCTAAAAGTCCAAAGTCATCGCACATTTTTATTTTGATTATTTATTTAAAGTACAACGAGTGGATGTTCTGGCCGCTCCACGCTCCTGCCAGCAGAGACACAGACTGCATGTCCCGCGGGGAGCGTCTTCATCCTCCTTCAGCTGTGCGAGCTGAGACAGTTTTACGCACAGCGTCTCCACACAGCTCTGCAGGACACGCACAACTGCTGTGTCGGAACTCCTGCATACATTAAAGTGCATAACAGTTCAGACATAATAAATAAGCTTACAGTAAAAAAACAAACAAAAAAAAACAAGTGAAATGTTTGATGTGTATTACATCACGTATCAAAACAACGGCACTAATTAGTCAAAATAACAGCGACCAAAAGGTCGAAAAGACAATTTATCTAAAATAATTGGATGGATAACTGGACAACAGAGACAGTGGCAATTGAGATTGGAGCAGAACACACAGGACTGAATTCAGCTGAGAAGAGTTCAGGTCGGCACTTGGCAGTGTGTGTGTGTGTGTGTGTGTGTGTGTGTGTGTGTGTGTGTGTGTGTGTGTGTGTGTGTAGGTGGTGGTGGTGGTGGGGGGGAGGGGGGTTAGGACGCCTGACAGACTGTCAAGGACGTGCATTCATACACAGGCTTGTTAATTGTTATTGCTCTCTAAAATAGTAATGTCAATTCAACCTTTATTTACACAGGTTGTTAGTCTCATTGATCCTCGTCATTTACAAGAGAGACCTGTTTTTAATCAATTTATTCAAATGTTTAACAACCTGTTAAAATACACCCAAATGCAGGAAATGGCATCTCTTTTATTCCAAATTTTCTGGGGGAGGACACACAGACATACAGTTCACATTATTTTTAAATTAGCCTATTACTGTTAAATGGGTAAATTACTCAGAATCTTTAATGAGGTACTAAAAACACATGTACAACACACATGTACATAAGTGCTATTATTTACGCAAGAAGTGCATCACATTCGCAGGGCTTCAGTTGGTGCAAGAATCGCTACTGCCAGTTGATGTCACCCAAGGGAATTGAATGAAGCTTTGGGTAGTGAACCACTTCATGACACAATGGTTCAAAATGATTCTATGCTTCAAAAAGCTTCATTTTGACATCACTAGGCACTGCGCATGCTGTCACAACTTCTCCTCCTCCAACTTCTCTCTCCCACCTGTCGGTGGATAAGAGAGCTGGGGACAAGCCCCTCCCAAAGCTTAGTGTCTAAACAGAATGAAAGACAGCTGAACATGGCATTATTATTATATTTAGAACTATTTTTAGAATGTTTCAAAATGAATCTGATCTCAAGACAAGATTGGATATGATTTTGGACTGATTCAAATTTCAGACGGAATATAATTTTAGTCCAGGTTAAATTTCAGTTAAATCTTAAATCTTCTTTACTAAGTTTCACTGTGTTTCCAGGACATGTAAACTGAGCAGCAGCAGCTTCAGCATGGCTTCAGTGGACATCCTCTACATAGACATCACCCGTCGATGGTCGTGTGCGGTACCTGAATCCAGAGAAGCAGGTAACGCATCATCATCCAGAGCCGGGCATTTGAAGAACATGAACAATGTTGTGTGATGCATCAGGTTCCTTCTGAAACTAGACTCAGATCCCAAAGTGACAGCAAAAAGTCGACTGACGTGAATTATTCAGTTACTAAACCTTTTGAGATCATATGGACCAGGATAGAGGGTCATGTACCAAGGAAACTGGACTCTGAATTTCAGATGAGCTCATCTGTATTCAGAGAAAGTAAAGGCAGGGTCACTGTCCATAGGTGGGGGTGGGGGGCCAGGAAGCTATACAGAAAGTGTAGAGCAAAAAACCTGATGCAAGTGCATGAAGTGCACATGTTGAGTTGCTGTTTGTTCCTCCCATGCCATTTTTTGCCACTTAACTATTATTGCGTACTTGATCTTATTGCAAACATTTAAACTTCTAATTATTAAGATTATGCAGAAGATAATTACTGTGACAGTGGGGACTTGTGCCATTTATGTTTTTTGAAATATCAAGCTTTATTGAAACTACATTGGGAAAATTTCAGCAGCTTGGTTCATCACTGCTCCCTTCTGAGAACATTTTAAATGGAAGTTCTGCAGACTTAGAGGTTCCATTAAGCAACCTACACAGGTCCAGAGATCCATCTGTCCATCCATTATCTTCCACTTGTTCCGAAGTCGGGTCGAGGGGGCAGCAGCTTGAGCAGGGAGGCATACACATCACTTTCAACAGCCACCTCTTCCAGCTCTTCTGGGAGGATTCCAAGGCCAACCAAGAGACATAATCTCTCCATCATGTCCTGGGTCTTCCCCGGGGTCTCCTCCCAGTTGGACATGTCCAAAGCATCTCCTGAGGAAGGCACCCAGGAAGCATCCTTACCAGCTGCCCGAACCACCTCAACTGGCTCATCTCGATGTGGAGGAGCAGCGGTTTTTCTCCGAGTCTCTCCCAGATAACTGAACTTCTCATCCTATCTCTAAGGGAGAGTCCAGCTCATTCTTTCGGTCACTACCCAGAGCTCGTGACCATAGGTGAGGGTAGGAACGTAGACCGACCAGTAAACAGAGAGCTTTGCCTTACAGCTCAGCTCCCTCTTCACCACAATGGACCAATACAGAGTCCACAATACTACAGATGCTGCACCAATCCATCTGCCAATCTCACACTCCATTATTCCCCACTCGTGAACAAAAGTCCCAAGATACTTGAACCCCTCCACTTGAGGCAGAACCTCAACCTCAACCTGAAGAAAGCAATCCACCCTTTTCCGGTTCAGGACCATGGCCTCAGATTTGCAGATGCTGATTCTCATCCCAGCCGCTTCACACTCGGCTGAGAACTGCTCCAGTGAGAGCTGAAGATCACAGCACGATGATGCCAACAGGGCCATATCATCTGCAAAGAGCAGAGATGGAATCCTGAGCCCACCGAACCGAAATCCTCCGCTCCCTGGCTGCACCAAGAAATTCTGTCCATAAAAGTTATGAACAGAATCGGTGACAATGGGCAGCCCTGACAGAGACCAACTCCCACTCTGAAGGGGTCCGACTTACTACTGGCAATGCAAACCAAACTCTCGCACTGTTTGTATAGGGACCGAACAGCCAATAACAACAAGCCCCAAATCCCATATTCACGAAGCACCCCCCCACAGTGTACCCCCCCCCGAGGAACATGGTTGAAAGCCTTCTCCAAGTCCACAAAACACATGTAAACTAGAAGGGCAAACTCCCATGACCCCTCGAGGACCCTAGTGAGAGTAAAGAGCAGGTTCAGCATTCATGGCCAGGGTGGAACCCGCATTGTTTCTCCTGGATCTGAGGTTCGACCAACGATCAGACTCGCTTCTCCAGCACCCCTGAATAGACCTTACATGGGAGGCTAAGGAGAGTGATATCCCTGTACTTGGAACATATCCTTCGGTCCCTCTTTTTGAAGAGGGAAACCACCACCCCAGTTTGCCAATCTAGTGGCACTGCCCCAGATGTCCTCACGATGTTGCAAAGGCATGTCAACCAAGACAGATCCCCACAACATCCAGATACTTAAGGAAATCAGGGCGAATCTCATCCACCCCAGAAGCCCTGCCACCACAGAGCTTTTCAACTACCTCGGTGACCTCAGGCACAGTTATGGACAGACCAACCCCAAAGTACCCTGACTTCACTTCCTCCATGGAAGACATCAGAATCAGAATAAGCTTTATTATCTAAAAAAGTTCAATCTGGTCCTCTGTCCAGAGGACCAGATTGAACTTTTTTAGATTTTTCTACCTAGATTATTGAGCATGCATCAGAAGCGTTATTATCATTGCACCGAGACACAACGAGAACATGTACATGCAGTCGTCCGGAAGATTGACGGAGTGCACGAAGCTGCTGCTCTTAAGCGCGGTCTCTCTTATCCTTTATCAGAATAATAATCTTAGATAGAAAAAGGGGCAGAAACATGAGGGTAGATAATGGTATTACAAAAAACAATATTTCACATCTTTTCTATTAGGACACGATTTGAGACATAAAAAAACCTCTACCAGTAAGCACAATTAAAACATGGTTACATTTGCATTTGACGTTGAGGTGTTGAGATTAGTCTATGAGCGCTTTTCAGATCATGCCGGTGGGATTGAGAAGGTTTGAGAAGTATTCCTTCCACTTATCAACGACATCACTGGTTGAGGTCAACAGCCCCCCCCCCCCCCCACCACCACCTTCACAGAACACATTGTTAGTAAAGAGCTACTTTTTCCTCTTCAGCCGCTTGATGGTTTGCCAGAATCTCCTGGGAGCCGACCGAGAGTCTTCATCCAAGCCCTCACCAAACTCCTCCCACATCTGAGCTTTTACCTCAGCAATAGCCAAGGCTTGGCCACTTGGCCAATCCGGTACTCCTCAGCTGCCTCCGGATTCCCACCAGCCAACAAGGCCCAATAGGACTCCTTTCTTCAGCTTGACAGCCTCCCTAACCCAGGGTGTCCACTACCGAGTTCGAGGATGGCTACCGCGAGAAACACTAACAACATTGTGGCCACAGCTCAAGGCAGCCACTTCAACAATTGAGTCGCAGAACATGGCCCACTTGGACTCATTGTCCCCCGCCTCAGCTGGGATGCGGTTAAAGCTCTCCCGGAGGTGTGAGTTAAAGATCTTTCTGACGGGTTCTTCTGCCAGGCATTCCCAGCAAACCCTCACTACACGTTTGGCTCTATTGGGTCTGTCTGGCACTTCCCCCGCCATTTGATCCAACTCACTACTAGGTCGTGATCATTTGACAACTCAGCTCCTTTCTTCATCCGAGTGTCCCAAACAAAAGGCCGCAAATCAGATGACACAACTACAATGTCAATCATCAATCGAGATATGGCATCCTGGTGCCAAGTGCACTTATGGACACCCTTTTGTTAGAACATGGTGTTTGTGATGGACAAACTATGACTAGCACAGAAGTCCAACAACACAACACTGCTCAAGTTCAGATCAGAGACATTGTTCCTCCCAATCATGCCCCTCCAGGTCACACTGTTGTTACTCAAATGTGCATTGAAGTCCTCCAGCAGAATAAAGGAGTCCCCAGCTGGTCCACTTTCCAGCACCCATGCCAAGAACTCCAAGAAGGCTCTGATCTGCCATTTGACGCTTGGGCACAAACAATAGTCAGAGCCTATCCCCCCTCCTGAATGTGCAGGGAAGTTACCATCTCATCTACTGGGGAAAACTCCAACACATAGGCACCAAGTCAGGGGGCTACAAGTAGATGCACACCAGCTCGGCACCTATCACTATGGGCAACTCCACAGTGGAATAAGATCCAGCCCCTCTCAAGGAGATTAGTTCTAAAGCCCATGCTGTGCATCGAGGTGACCCCAACTGTATCTAGTCAGTACCTCTCAAACTCACACACAAGCTCAGTCTCCTTCCCCGCCAGAGAGGTCACATTCCATGTCTCAAGAGCCAGTTTTGGTAAGCCAGGGTCTGAGTGCCAATGTCCCCGCCTTCAGCCACTGCCCATTGCATCATGCGCCTGACTCATTGCCCCTCCTGCAGTTGGTGGGCCCACAGGAAAGCAAACCAATGTTGCTCATTTAGGCTGAGCCTGACTGAACTCCATGGATAGAGACCCAATCACCAGGCGCTCGCTGACGAGCCCCTTCCCAGTCCTGACTCCAGGTTGGGGCCCCGGTAACATATGCAAGCCCTTTTAACATAAAATCGGATTCACCACGCTTACATTCCAGATATCTGAAACTGAGTTATGACTAGACATATTAGTTATTTAAGATATCTTGAATTACATTTTGACTAGTCAAAATACTTATTTGAGATATCTCTAATTACATTCTGACTAGTGTAAATGACCTCAGATTTACCATTGAGTTGTATGGAGGCTTCAGTTCAAGATATCTTAAACTGAATTTTGACTAGTCATTATTTGCTTTCAAGATATCTCACTTTTAGTTCTGACTAGTCATAATTACAATTAAAGATATCTTAAATTATGTCATTATTCAAGATATCTTAAATGTATTTTTAGATATCACAAATTAAGTTTTGACTAGTGCAAATTAAATTGTAGATATCTTGATAGCAAATAACGACTAGGCAAAACTAACTTAAAGGTATCTACAACTGTACTTATAACTAGTCAAAATTCATTTTAAGATATCTCAAAATGAATTCAAGATATCATGAATATTTTATCATGTAGACGGCTTTTCTATTTAAGATATCTTGAATTAACATTTTGACTAGTCAGAATGATGTTCAAGATATCTTGAATTGTTATTCTGACTAATCAAAATGTCACAGATTTACATAGCATTTTGGCAGAAAAATCATAAGGCATTTTAGCCTTTTTATCTTATTATCTGCAATGTCAGGTCTGTCCAACACAACACTTGTATTTTTAACATGATTTTTAGCACGGCAGCTTGGATTATTTATTGTATCTGCAACCGGAAACCGACACTTCCTGCTTTGTGAGTCTTTGCACTAAGGAGAAATGTCTCTCTCTTCAACAACTTTGCTTAATTTGCAACCTTTTCTTTCGCTGCTGATGAGGAAATCGCAGCGGCAAATTCTCGAACGTGAAAGGATAAAAGTTCTTGCATGAAGAAAATATCAACAGCTGTCAAGGTAAGAAAAGACGTAGCTTAGCGAGCTAACCGTTAGCTACAACATATGAAGTACATAAACATCGTAATAAAGAAGCCTAATTTAGTGTGCTAAATTATTTGGAGTATTTGAGACAGACATGATATAAAATTTTAAATTATATTTTTATGAGGTTCCATTAGTGCCAAACATGTTTATGTGTGTATGTAGCGTGCTGTGTATAAGGTGATGTGTTAAGTGAATCAATCTATTATACAATCTATTACTTGTTTAAAGCTAAATATGTTATAACAGGTATTAATTTATATATATATGTGTGTGTGTGTGTATATATATATATATATATATATATATATACAGGTCCTTCTAAAAAAATTAGCATATTGTGATAAAGGTCATTATTTTTCATAATGTAATGATAAAAATGAAACTTTCATATATTTCAGATTCATTGCACACCAATTGAAATATTTCAGGTCTTTAATTGTTTTAATACTGATGATTATGGCATACAGCTCATGAAAACCCAAAATGCCTGTCCCAAAAAATTAGCATATCATGAAAAGGTTCTCTAAACAAGCTATTAACCTAACCATCTGAATCAACGACGTAACTCTAAACACCTGCAAAAGATTCCTGAGGCTTTTAAAAACTCCCTGCCTTGTTCATTACTCAAAACCGCAATCATGGGTAAGACTGCCGACCTGACTGCTGTCCAGAAGGCCATCATTGACACCTTCAAGCAAGAGGGTAAGACACAGAAAGAAATTGCTGAACGAATAGGCTGTTCCCAGAGTGCTGTATCAAGGCACCTCAGTGGGAAGTCTGTGGGAAGGGAAAAGTGTGTCAGAAAACGCTGCACAACGAGAAGAGGTGACCGGACCCTGAGGAGGATTGTGGAGAAGGGCCGATTCCAGACCTTGGGGGACCAGCGGAAGCAGTGGACTGAGTCTGGAGTAGAAACATCCAGAGCCACTGTGCACAGGCGTGTGCAGGAAATGGGCTACAGGTGCCGCATTCCCCAGGTCAAGCCACTTTTGAACAAGAAACTGCGTCAGAAGCATCTCGCCTGGGACTGCTGTTGAGTGGTCCAAAGTTATGTTCTCTGATTACAGTAAATTTTGCATTTCCTTTGGAAATCAAGGTCCCAGAGTCTGGAGGAAGAGAGGAGACACAGAATTCACATTGCTTGAGGTCCAGTGTCAAGTTTCCACAGCCACTGGGGTGCCATGTCAGCTGCTGGTGTTGGTCCACTGTGTTTTATCAAGGGCAGGGTCAATGCAGCTAGCTATCAGGAGATTTTGGAGCACTTCATGCTTCCATCTGCTGAAAAGCTTTATGGAGATGAAGATTTCATTTTTCAGCACGACCTGGCACCTGCTCACAGTGCCAAAACCACTGGTAAATGGTTTACTGACCATGGTATTACTGTGCTCAATTGGCCTGCCAACTCTCCTGACCTGAACCCCATAGAGAACCTGTGGGATATTGTGAAGAGAAAGTTGAGAGACGCAAGACCCAACACTCTGGATGAGCTTAAGGCCGCTATCGAAGCATCCTGGGCCTCCATAACACCTCAGCAGTGCCACAGGCTGATTGCCTCCATGCCACGCCGCATTGAAGCAGTCATTCATGCAAAAGGATTCCCGACCAAGTATTGAGCGCATAACTGAACATGATTATTTGAAGGTTGGTGTTTTTTGTATTAAAAACACTTGTCTTTCATTGGTGGGATGAAATATGCTAATTTTTTGGGACAGGCATTTTGGGTTTTCATGAGCTGTATGCCATAATCATCAGTATTAAAACAATTAAAGACTTGAAATATTTCAGTTGGTGTGCAATGAATCTGAAATATATGAAAGTTTAATTTTTATCATTACATTATGGAAAATAATGACCTTAATCACAATATGCTAATTTTTTTAGAAGGACCTGTATAGAGTGCTAAAATCAGATCACTGGGTGTTGAAAAAAGAAATGTTGGCTTATTTCTGTAGAAGTGCACAGCTGGTAAAGGTTTTTGTAACCATGTAGTTGCACTTTTTTTTTTTTTTTACCAGACTGCACACTACTCCCAACTCCAGCTGCCAACTGGTCCTCCTGTACTGGCGCCTGCACAAGAGATTTACAAAGATGGCACAGACAAAGAACACAGGTAAAACAAAAAATAGAATAAGAGTGGAACACATTATTTTCTGTTATATTATTTAGTATATGATGGTTATGATTTTCATCACAATAATTGTAATAACTTTCCCACCTGTATTTTATTAGTGCCATGTGAAATTTGTTGTAGTCTCAATATTACTTGTGTCAAACAATTCCAAACAAGTTAGGAGATAAAAATATATTTGTTTTTGTAGGTAATGAATAAATGCAGGTTCAACCTCTATGAATTAGTAATATTTGCAAGTGAAGTAAAAATCTTAACTCTCAAATCTGTCCCACTGTGTCGTACCAAATTGCTCACTTGTCCCTTTACATTTATTTATTTTTTTTGTTTATTTGACATAATTGTTTATGTTTATTTCTTGTAAGGGAATCCATCCTGAACCTGCGAGCGAGGTGGTGGTGCGAAAGCCCAAAACTGGGGGGAAAAGGTGTTTACACGCCACACTTTACTGAGCTTTCACAGGTATAACCTTTGGGTTAATGTTTTTATGTCTATGTTTCCTTTGTCAAAACTAATAGTGATTATGTCACTCGTGTGTTTGTAGGACCATTTCCAGATCCTGACATCCTGACATCGGGAGAAAAACTACACCAGCTGGTGTCCCAACCACTTATCGCACTTATCCTAGAGATGGTCTCTCAGCTTTGGAGCTGGTACCATCCAGACTTGGGCCTGTGCCACAGGGCTCACTGAGGTCTCACCATTGCCCACCTGAGAAGTCCTGCATAGCATCATTCTGCACCACATGGCTCCAGACCTCCCTGCTCTTCCTTCGATGCTGCATAGTCTTCCCAACGTGTTTTGTGCCCACACTCAGTCAACTTATGCATCTTCAGTCTCTGCAAGTGTCACACGAATTACAGGCCAGAACCAGGGAGCAGTCCAGATGTCCTGCGTGGGTACAGCTTCGGCAACCAAGGCTTACTGCTAGCCATTTCCGCTTTCCGTGTTGCTTACAGAGGAAGTGCGGAGGAGGAGTCTGCTGACATACTCAGATGATCAGCGGGTACACTAAACAATAACTGTTGAACGGGTATGGTGTGATAAATGGATTGATGATTGATTGATCAGATGAAGTCTAAACTGGACATGTTTTACTTCAACACCTTCATCCACGTGTATATATCAATGCAGCAAGAAACATAAAATGTATAAATCACCCTTTTGTTCCTTCATATTTTTAATATTCAGTCTCAAGCTGTATGAATCACTGTAAATACTGTATCTTGATGCATGTTCAATGATCCAGGTAGAAAAATCTAAAAAAGTTGTCTGGTCCTCTGGACATTCAAAAAGCAAAACAACAAAACAAACATCCTGATGCATGCTCAATAATCCAGGTAGAAAAATAAAAAAAAATTAAATCTGGTCCTCTGGACATTCAAAAAGATACACAGAAGATCAACATCATCAGGCCAGGACTCTGCGGTCTACACTCATCTCCAGGCCAGCGGTCACTCTTTCAGGGATGAAGATGTGCACATCCTGGATAGAGCGGAACGATGGTTTGAGAGAGGAGTAAAGGAGGCCATCTTTGTGAAAAGAAACCATCCATCGTTAAACGGGTGGAGGCCTACGTGTTCAATTGTCCCCCTCTTACAATGCTGTGATTGCTAGTATCACTCAGCCCTCTGTGAATAGTAAACAGCCATCAGTGTGCTAATGATCCATTGTTAGGCTGATGGTCCTTCTTGAGCATGTGATCAGCTGGTTTTGGTTGTCAGCAGCAAACTGGTTGATCCACTCTGAGAAGGTGCTATTTAAGAGACTGAGCTGAATACAGCACCTCAGACTGAGGAAGTCTCTCGGATGAGAGACGAAACGTTTCTACATTTTTTTGTTGTTTTGCTTTGTTTTGTTTTTTTTGAATGTCCAGAGGATCAGATTTTATTAACTTTTTTAAACAAAACAAACACAAAAAAAGTATAAACGTTTCGTCTTTCATCCGAAAGACTTCTTCAGTCTTAGGTGCTGTATTCAGCTCAATCTTATAAAAGCACTTTCTCAGAGTGGATCAACCAGTTTGCTGCTGACAACCATGTGAGCAGCACCTCAGACTGAAGAAGTCTTTCGGATGAAAGACGAAACGTTTCTACCTTTTTTTTTGTTTGTTTTGTTTTTTGAATGTCCAGAGGACCAGACTTAACTTTTTTAGATGTAAATACTGTAAATAATTATTCATGAAAAATACATAAATGTGCCGATTTCTTTAAATTGAAATTGTATAATTTGATAAAATATCTATAATCCACTATCAATTTATAGTGTATAGTTATAAAATGTTAACTTAAATAGTTAAATGGTTTTTGTTTTTACTAGATATTGTAAATTGCACTTGTTTTTCTTGCAATTCAACTGAATCAATCTACAAAATAAAATAAAACAGTACAGTATGCTGCTCAAGTGTGTTTTAATTGAAGAATGTTTAAAATAATTCAAAACATTAAACTATCTATCGGTAATTACATAACACTAGAGCAATTTACATACATGTGACAAGCTTGGGTATGGATGTTATTTTGATTTTATTTATTTTATTTATTTATTTATTCATTTCATTTAATTTCCAATAAAAACACAAATACAATTTCAAAAAATTAAAGAAAAACAAATATAAAATGAAAGGAAGCAGAAGAAAATTTCTTATCATATCTGCTCCCTCATAAACAAAATCAATTCAAACCATCAATTTAAACATAAACATTCATATATAATACAGCAAAATACATAACTCATCAAAATTTCATACTTAACAAAATAGATATTAATCAGTTATATATATTGTTCCAACAAAACAGTTTTTATCTTTTTCTTAAATATAAACATTGACTTCACCATTTTAGCATCATCTTCCAAACCATTCCACAGACTCATTCCCTGTATAGTAGTAGACCGACCCTTTAAACTGGTTCTATACTTGGGTTTAACAAAAATATCTATGCCCTTCAAATTATAACAACTCTTCCTTTTTACAAAATATGTTTGAATGTTTGATGGTAGCATGCAATTCTGAGCTTTAAACATGAATAAAAGAATATTATAATCCACCAAATCATAAAACTTAAGTATTTTCAATTGACAAAACAGAACATTAGAAGGGTGACAATAACACTTTTTTGTTATAATTTTTACAGCTCTTTTTTGCAGAATAAAAATAGGCTTTGTTATGGTTTTACATGCCGTACCCCAAACAGTGACACAGTAAATTAAATGCGGGACTACAAGTGTATTATATAGCAAATATAAAGCATCATTGTTTAATAAGTCCCTTACTCTGTATAATACTGCATTTGACTTAGATCGAAAAAAGTTAAATCTGGTCCTCTGGACATTCAAAAAAAAAAACAAAACAAAGCAAAACAACAAAAAATGTAGAAACGTTTCGTCTCTCGTCCGAGAGACTTCTTCAGTCTGAGGTGCTGTTTTCAGCTCAGTCTCTTAAATAGCACCTTCTCAGAGTGGATCAACCAGTTTGCTGCTGACAACCAAAACCAGCTGATCACATGCTCAAGAAGGACCATCAGCCTAACAATGGATCATTAGCACACTGATGGCTGTTTACTACTCACAGAGGGCTGAGTGATACTAGCAATCACAGCATTGTAAGAGGGGGACAATTGAACA